ATACAACGGAATATTAAATCGAACACAGACAAAAAATATCACAGTATCGATTAATGCATCGGATGTTCAAGGTGTATCACAAGTGTGGTCAATTCCAATTATCGTTCGTCCTACAACTAACAACTATAGGTTAACAGATGGTTATAAGATAATAAGTGTACTCTATGTCAATGGTTACAATAATGCATTAACAAATCAAGCTCTTGGTTCAATCTATGTCAATGATTTAGATGACTGGAGTCGTGCAACGAATAGTTATCAAGTAATATCGAGTACTGCAGGAACATTTACTGCTAATGGTAGTGGACTTAATGGTTATTTGGCTGCTAGTAGTACATTGTACCCTGGCTCATACACAGTTCAAACTAGAGTTGTTAAAAATAGTTTCACTGCTACTGGTACAGTTGATTTAGATGTACAAAGTGTTGACAGTGAATTTGTTAGACAAGCAGCAACCATAAGAATACAAGGTTAGTTAGTTTCTATCAGTTTTAACACTCTTGAACTTTTTAAGAAGTATTGTTGCTATTTTGAGGCTTTATCTCGAAAACATTTACATAAATACAAAATATGAACTTAACTATTTAGGTGAATATCCTGAGAGCCTTATTGATCCAACATTTGGTAGACGAACAAATAAGTTACGCAGTGCTTTAGCACAAATTCTTATTGTTACTGTTGATACTATACAAATATTAACAATACGTTCTGCTCCCTCAACACAAATAATGAATCCACTTTTACCACCATTACCATTTGATCAACAAAAACAGCAAGCATTAACCGACGTCATATTCTATGTACCAAATATGGCAAAAGAATTAATTGAAAATACACTAAATACAAATCTTGCCCTATTTTTATCACGATATGGTATCAGGGCAACGGCAAGCGGACCAAATCCATGTACGAATTATGGTTGTCCAACAGGAACAACATGTCGCTATGATCGTACTATTCAACCGCTACCCTATTTAGTTGATACCAATTTAACATCATTTGTTGGCATTAATATTCTTGATTCAGCTGATTGCGTCAACAGTTCTACGTCTGTTCAACCACCATGATCACTAGCTCTGGAGAAGACTTTAGATTTAATGCATTGTCCGAGAAAGAATATTCTCTTTCGATTCTAAAACTGTCACGAAAAAACTAGTTCAACTTTGAGACAAAAAAATTAATTCGTCTCTTCGAATGCTCTTCTCTCTCGAAAATTGCTGTGTACTTACTGATGACAATAGTCAAACAGTTAGTCTATTTTCATTAACTACAACAAAACTCAAAAAACACTCGGAGAAAAACACTCGTTGCACTGCGTTAAAACGTTAAGAAATGACTATAATTGACTTGTATTGTATATCTATTACATGTAGGGAAAGTTAGCAGCGGATTCGAGTAATTTTTCTACACCGGCTCGTGGGCTGGGGTCTCATATCCAATATGATGCTCTCTCCGAGCTCTAACAACATTAATTTAATTTTTAAGTAAGAAAGTAAGAAACATTTCTCAACGACATTTGGGTATGAAAAGAGGCAGTTCAAATATAGGAACATAAAAATTCAACAAACAATTTATCTTAATGTCGATGAATCCTTATGTAGCCATCTTTATGAAAAAGAAAACTGTACGAGATCTCTCAAAAATAAAGTGTTTCTTAAGATAATTGACATACCGATTTCATGATATTTTACCCGGTTTTTTCTTCAGGAACATAATGCAATCAAGGTGTATCATTCACCTGACTCGCTTCGACTACTGAGCTTAAAATAAAGTATACAGGAATTTTATTTGTAAACACTCTCCCTACTCGTCATAGAAACTACGTTAACGGTTTTTTGAACTTTTAGAAAATTTTTGATGCTATTTCTAAGATAGCTTCAATCTCAGACTTCTCTAAATTCTCCCATGTTCGCCTCAATTACGATTGAGAAAGTTAAGAAAGCAGATATAAACTGCAAAAGAGATTCGAGTATAAAAGTGGTCTTTAGATCGCTTTAGTAAAAAGTATCTTATATAATAGACACTGTTTAAAATGTGAAGAAAAACGTAGATATCTTTAATCATTATGATTACACGTGTATGTCATATAAGTGATATACAGAAAAAAATGTATATCTGTATTTAAATTCTTTTACATTGCAAAATGTTAGAAAAGTATATGTGCCTTATATACGAAACATTCTCTTTCGTATGAAATATATGAGTCAATTGCAACTTTTTTGTACAATGACATTTTTGAAGTATTTTTGCTACTAACACCGTTGTTGTGAATGGATTTTCAAAGTTTTTTTTATTCTCTATCTCAGACCCTAGCCACACTAC